GTCCGTAGGTCGATTCTCCGGCCGCAAGTGGAAGTAAAATTTTGCGCCCGCAGAAGTCCATAGGTCGAAAAGTACGTAAGTGGAGCCGTTCGTAAGTTGAGACTCCACTGTAGTGCAGGAACTGGCACACCGTAGGGAACCTCCTGGGCTCAGAGTAAAGGATGTTTAGGTGATTGTCCTCCCACTTCACTTTTAGACAGTAGATGCTGGCCACTAATAAGTGAAGTCTTTCCACTTCCGGGCTCCAGAGGGTTTGCTTCTCCTTATATATCCATCTAGCTGGCTGGATAGCTCAGTGACTTAAGTATCTGACTGCAGAGTCAGAGGCTGAGAGTTGCATTTTTCACTGTTCTTCCTGGGAGGAGAGCCAGCCTGGGTGGCCTTGGGCAAGCTGCACAGTCCCAGGGATACCTCCAGAAGAAGGGAATAGGAAACAAGTGTATTCTCTCCCTGAAAACCCTGAAAAGGCTCACCATAAGTCAGAATTGACAGCACACATTGTGAAAACCCTGAAAAGGCTCACCGTAAGTCTGAATTGACAGCACACATTGTTTTTTTTTTATTACACTTTGCTTTTTAACATTTCATTATATGGAAATGCTATTGTTACCCTTCAGCAGTCATTAGAGTCAAGTGAATCATCTCTACTTGATAGCTACAGTGGGTTTGGATTTCTAGGTAGAAGAGAAATGAAGAGAAATCATATAACTGTCTCAAATACATTAGTGGCGATTACAAAGTGGCTAGTCCAAAATAAGCTTGGCTTTCAAGTATTTGGGAGTTAAAAACTGTGTTCCTATAAATCAGATTAAGAAATACAATGAGCCTGCCTTGGTTAATGAGAAGAGTGGCTAGCTAGAGGTACGTAATTTTATTGCTGAAACGTTTGTGAGGTTAATTTGTTTTTATTTCCACCTCTGCCTTTATTGATTAATTAAAGGGAGATCTTGAGATGAGAGAGGACTCAGACATTTACAGAGGGAAAACCAGCTAGAATTAAAGTGGAAATACTTTATGGGAGTGTTTTTATGGGGGGGTAGGGTTTGTTTGTTTTCTTTTCACATGGTTTTAATAATGCAGTGATGCCTCGCAAGACGAATGCCTCACCCAATGAAAAACTCGCAAGACGAAAGTGTTTTGCAATGTTTTTGGTGACTCACAAGACAAATTTTCCTATGGCCGTGCTTCGCAAGATGAGTTTTTGTTTGTTTGTTTTAAATTGCATAGCCGTTAGTATCATGGTTCACAAGACGAAATTTTTGCAATATGACACGACTCATGGAACGAATTAATTTCTTATTGGGAGGCATCACTGTAATTTGTAAGCCTCCCAGAGTAGTGATTTGTTTACTAAATGGGTGAGGTATAAATCTAAATAAATAAGATAAATAAATAAATATAGACCCTTTAACAATGCAGTTGGATAGTTGTTAAAGATCATCTCTTGGTGTGACCCAGTCATTATCGGTGAAGTATCTGTTTAGCAAAGTTTACTATCAGAAGGATGCTTCTTACATTGGACAGTCAACAAATAGAGACTGGTCCATTTCAGACTTGATGTTCCAGACTTCCATGGTTTCCTCAAGTCATTCTTTCAGCTTTTGGTGGCAAGAGAAAGCTTATGAATAAATAAATCCGGCCTTGAAGTCCTTACATTCTAAGTGAATAAATGACTGTTCAGAAATGTAATGCAGCTTTTAATTGGACAGAAAGATGTCTGTCTTGTGTCTGATCACCACCACCACCCCCATTTCTCAACTCCTGCCCCCCAGTTGGCGTTGTCTGTGCCGCCCCGGGCGTGGAAGGCGCGTGGTGGCGGGCACAAGTGGTTGGCTACTTCAAAGACACAAACGAGGTGGAGATCAGATACGTGGACTACGGCGGATATGAGAGAGTCAAGATTGATACTCTTCGACAGATCAGGTGAGCCAGTCAAGAATTCCTTCCAAATCCATAGGACCCTTCGTTTGTGTGGGTTGGGTTGGGAGGAGGTTGGTCTGTGTGGTCCTTGATTAGCGATATGTGGTGCCACCTGTCCTTGGGTATCTTGTCTGTTCATTAAGTCTGCCTTTATTCAGAGTTTTTCTGAGAGCCTTTACTTTCCTTATCTGTAAAATGGGAATAACGGCAAGATTATCTGCATGATGTTAGAGTTGAGGCCAAGTATAGGGGATGGTGAGTGTGGTTAGAAACATAGGTACGTGGTCAGAATTTATCTCCCTAATGGAGTTCTGAATGACAATAGGGCTTAACCCTCTCCCTTTCCCCCCCATACAAGTAGGCTTCTGTTGTGGCTTCTGCTCAAGAACCATAGTCAATGTGTCGTTTTTTAAAAATCTTTGCAGTCACATAATTTTGTGTGTTGTTGTTTTTCTTCCCCCAAAAAAGGTCTGACTTTGTAACACTACCTTTCCAAGGAGCGGAAGTCCTACTAGACAACGTAGTGCCACTTCCAGGTAATGCCAGCTACAGGCTGTCTTGAAGCATCTGCTTGGATGTGATGCATTATGGCTGACGAGCGGAGAGGGAGGGGGAAAATGTTCACTTTCTGAATGTGTGTGAGAGACAGCAAAACCTAAAGGGCCAAACCTAAAATCACCTGGCATTTTTGCTCGAAGGCCATCTGAGTTGTTTGGATAGAGAGAGACTAAAGCTGATAGCTCGAGGGCAGCGATGGCGAACCTATGGCACACATGTCGCAGCTGACACACAAAGGCACGTGAGCCATACATAAGTCACCAGATCGCTAATCCTCTTTTACCTTTTTTTTCAATTTGGGCACTCAGGCCCCAAAAGGTTTGTGGTCCCTGCTCTAGGCTCTCCTTCCAGTGTTAACCAGAAAGGCGCACCTTGATTTTTGTGCCGCTCACGGGAATATATTTGCCTCTTCTCTCTATAATCCGGCTTCATGCTGGCCAAAACGCTAGGAGGGTCTTCCTGAGCAAGGCCGGATCAGACTGAAGGCAATGGAGCCTTGTTCTGTTTACACAGTGGCCAAGCAGATGCCCGAGGGAAGCCTGTGGGAAAGACAGGAAGCCACTGTTAGGGGAAGCAGTGCTCTCAGGGTAGCCAGAATCTGGCCCACTGCCGATGGTAGGCCTCATCCTGCTTGCCCTGTGGAAGTTCAGCACAGCTTGGGGTCAGAGATGATTACAAGATGGGATGCTTTCTGTGACCCTACATCAAGTGGAGGAAAAATGTATAAAAGTGCCCCAATTGTAGCACAATTAGAATACAGTGGTGCCCCATTCCAGGATTAACGTCACTATCTGGATTTGTCACTATGCGGGGGGAAAACCCCACAGGAACGCATTAAAACGGATTTAATGTGTTCCTATTGGGGCGAAAACTCACCGCTGTGCGGGGAATCCTCGATCCAGCCACCATTTTCGCTGCCCGGTAAGCGAGGGCAGGGCACGAAAACGCTGTGGGCAGCCATTTTGGGGATGCGGCAGCCATTTTGGAACTGCCGATCAGCTGTTTAAAAAACATCGCAATGCGGTTTCATTAGCGATTGCAAAAAACGCGTCGCAATGCGAATTTGTCGTTAAACGGTGCGCTCGTTAAGCGAGGCATCACTGTATATAAAATGAGTGTACGGTATCAGCTTTTGCTGTAGCACTGCCTTTCTGCCGTTTGAATTTTGGTTACACACCGGCACCTTTGACATTTCAGGAAGGGAGAAACTTAAAATCTTCTTCCACTGAGATGCTCGCTTTTTGTGTGAAAGGAGGTCCCTTTGTGCCAGATGGGCTGTACAGTTAGGATTAATACAGTCTGGAGACATTCGCAGGTAGAAATGTTTTAGCAGGCCCCTTTACACTGGATTTTGTCAGCGTTTATTTTTCTCTCTCTCTCTTCCATAAAAAGACGATGATCAGTTTTCATCTGAAGCGGACACAGTTGTGAGTGAAATGACCAGGGGTACACCGCTGCTTGCACAGGTAGGTGCGGAACCTGTGTATCATTTATTTGTTTTGGGTTTAAGCATGGGCTGAAGCTGTGTCTGGGGGCCCACCAATTACTTGCCCCTTCATCAAGTGGGAAGCTGTATGCCGTTGTCCATGAGGGTGGCTTTCTTCGTTGCCCTGCTCGCTAATCGAGACAGAGAAGTGCCTTGGAAATTCTGCTGACCCGTATCTCATTTCATTCTGAGCCAAAGAAGAACTTCCCTCACTCATAAAAACAGCCAAGTGGGTACAGGAAGAGTGGACCCCTGTTTGCAACAAGGGAGGGTTGGAAACGGGTGCCAGCAAGACCTCTGCTGAAAATGCACTCCCCGAACTCTGCTATACTGGATAATTTGCAGCTAAGTGATTCATATCCTATTCATGGGCAAAATGCGGGAGCCTATGGTAGGCATCTCAGCTGCCATGTGTTCTTGCATGAGTCAGGAGGATCTCTCTCTCTCCGAAATCCCAGTTGATTGGAAGAGAGCTAACATTGTCTCTAACTGCAAAAAAGACAAAAAGGACGAACCAGGAAACTACAGACCGGTCAGCCTGACATCAATCCCAGGGAAAGTTCCAGAGCAGATTATAAAGTAGTTACTTTGCAAATATCTTGAAACAGTAATAACTGAAAGCCAACATGGATTTGTCAAGGACAGATCTTGCCAGACTAATTTTAACTCATTTTTTAATCAAGTAACCTCCCTGGTAGATGGTGGAGAAGCTATAGACATAATATATCTTGCCTTCAGCAAGCTAAGTAGGTGTGGGCTAAATACAAATGTGAGTTGGATATCACAGTTGGTTAACAAATTGTACTCAGAATAATTATCAGTGACTAGTTCTCAAACTGGGAGGAGGTGACAAGCAGGGCATCACATGGCTCAACATTTGATACTCTTTGAGATTTTTACGAATTACTTGGATGAAAGGTTTCAGGGAGTGCTTATCAAATTTGCAGCTGACACAAAATCGGATGGAATAAATAATATGGAAAACAAATAACATTCAACAAGATCTTGAGAGCTTGAGCACAACAGAATGAAATTGCACAGGAATAAGTGCAGTGTTCTACACCGAAGGAAAAGAAGTCAAACACACAGTTGCAACATGGGGGGATATTTGGCTCAGTAATATAACATATAAAAAGGATCTTGGAATTGCTGTAGATCACAACCTGAATACAAACCAGCAGTTGCGATGCAGCTGAAAAAAAAGTGCATACTCTTTTAGGCTGCATTAAAGTGTAGAAGTATAGTCTCCAACTCCTGTGAGGTACTAGGCCCACTCTATTTAGCACTGGTTAATGTTATAAGTTCTCTTTGTCTCTCTCTTGTGGGTGGGTGGCATAGTGACCATGCATTCCTTGCTCTGTTTTCAGTTGTTGCTAAATACTAATCTCCATTGTTAATTCCAGGTTACAAATTATGATAGTGCAACAGGATTGCCCCTAATACAGCTGTGGAGCATGATAGGAGATGAAGTACGTATGCTGCCAAATTTTTTTGGGGGGGATGGGTGGAACACTTTTATTTATTTTATTTATTTATTAGATTTCTACCCCCCCCCAGACAGCGTCTACTTGGGGCAGCTTACAAATATCATAAAATATCATAAAACTTTCAGACTATAAAAAGGAGTTTTGTTTTTATGGCTTTTTCTTATTAATGGATTAATTGTACATCATTAGATAAATTAACATGCCACTATTTTATATACAGTAGAACCCCTGTACCCATGGGATTGGTATCCGTGGTTTCACTTATCCATGGTCTAAAAGTATTAAAAGAAAAAAAAACCAGAAATGCCCATTTCCATGATGGTAATTACTAGAACTGGCCACTAGAGGGCTCCAGAGACCATGCTATGTATAGGGTTTGCCATTTTCAACACCTACCATGGGAGGCTTGGAACTGATCCCCCTTTGACACAGGGGTCGTACTGTAGTTTTATTGCTTTTTTATTATTAAATTCCTCTCTTTCAGTTGTCATCCTTTGTTAGATGTCTTGACTGGAGTCGAGGTTTGCGTAACTTGTTGTAACTAATTGAGGAGGTGCTTGGGTTATGTGTCCAGTTGCACAACTGCCCCACTGCTTCCTCAGTTGGCCACGGCAAGGGACACATACCTTCCGTGAATGCCAGTAAGATTCAAGCCAGTGAGTCTTTTTTAAAAAAATAAGTTTGCTTGGGAAGCGGTGACACCTAACTTGTGTGTGTGTGTTTCTTTTCCAGTTGGTGTCTATAAACCGAACCTTGGTGGAGAGAGGTTTCGCACAGTGGGTCGAAAGCTACTAGGAAATTCCTTGGCTGTTGTCCTGACAAGTCTTCCCTGTTCTCTCCCCCACCCCCACCTTATCCCTTTCCTTTCTTTCTCTCCATTTTTTTTGAGCACTGTTTCTAAATTAGGTTTGGCAATCGTCTTTCCTTATCCCACTATATGTTGCCACCAGGAAAAAGAAAAAAAAAATAATCTGATGATGTTCCCTCTTGCAGCCTGTTGGAAATGGGTTCATCTGTCAGACAACGTGTATCACATACCTCATTTTTCCATAAAGGCAGGGAGTTGAACCATAAGCCATAAAGATACTGCAGCTTTAAAACTCAGCTCTTCCCCCCCCCCTTTTTTTTTTCTTTCCTTTCTCTCTCCCTGACCTGGGCTCGAAAGTGCGGTGTTAAAAAAGAAAAGAAAATATAGGAAAGAAAATTATCCGGGGAATATCCTTGAAACCATTACTCATGATGGAATTAAATGGTATTTAAATACACCCATTTCCTAAATTGACTGTTGCCTTAATTAAGATGAGTTTAGATGAAATTTGCTTCCAGATACCCCCCTTCCCCCTGAAAACATATGGGAAACAATTTGAATCTCGGGATCATGTCGTGCACAAGTTGGCGTTTCTGTGCTTCAAAAGCACAGCAAAAGATAAGTTTTGTTCACCGTCACCAGTAGGCAGTGGGAAAGCTGGACGTGGGATATCCTTCCTTCTGGTATCCTGTTGACGTCCTTGCTAATTGAGACTTGGGTTTTGGAACAGAGGAGCACTGCTTTGCAGGCCTCTTTAAACTAGGTAATGAATTAAAACCACTTACAGCTCCGACCATTTTTAATCCCCAAATCGTGTTTAAAATTAAAAAAAGAAAAAGATTGCCAAGCCTGATTGTAATTCATAACTGTTTTCTAGCTGTGCAAAAACCTATGTAAATATATATAAAAATCATTGTAATATTTTGTACAAGAGGGAAAAAAAAAGAATACTGGAGAACTAAAAAGGGAACTTCAAACAAAACTCAAAAAAAAAATTTTCCACGCAAAAATGTCCTCTGTAGGTAGAAACGGTTTGGGGTGTAAGCGCTAGATGGTGTGAGGGTTTTTTTGTGACCTCTTGTGTACAGGATGGCTTTTCCCCCCTAGCTTGCTGTATGGTAGGAATGGTAATCAATGAACTCTTTGCTACTTTTGTGCTGTACAGATCTGACCTTAAAGGGAAAAAAAGAGAGTAACATTTGGAATTAATATTGCAGTGATGTGTCTCAAATTTTTTTTGGCTCCTTTTTAGATTGGTTTCAAATGTGGAATTTAAAAAAAAATCAAGTAATTTAAGCTAATTTAATACTATTAAAATATAAATGAATTTAAAAATGGCTGTTGAGTCGGGAGTCGTGGTGCGGAAGATGGTTTTTGAAAATGCCTCATGGATATTGATTGTTTAATGAGAAAAGAGATCAGAAAAGCGGTTATCCAGCAAACCGCCTTCGAAGGAAGTTGTAGAAAATTTTGGTGTGAAGCATTTAATCCATAACATTTTCAGCAGTCAAGGGGGTAGCTTTGCGAATTTATTTTTACGAGCTACACGTTTCTCTTTCTTAAAAGAATTCTGGTCAGGGTATTTCCCTGGATCCTCCTATTTCCACCAGAATCCGCCATCCTGCCTCCATCCTGCAACCTTGTACACTCAAAAAAACTGCACATTAGAAATCCCTCTGGAGCAGAATTTTGGTGCCACGGAAGGTTGCAGCAGGAGAACATGGTGGAAGAAGACCCTGCTTTGCTGGCACTGGTTTCCAAAGCACATCACTGAATCTTAGCCTTTGTCTGTTTTATCATGATAAACAAAGGGAGGGAATGGCGCATTGCAAATAATACTAATAATACACCAACAGGCAAAGGAAACAGGTTCTCAAAATGCTTCTATATGTTCATGTCTCAGGGATGTAAGTTTTTGTTCATGGAAATCCAGTGATAAAAATGCTTGCAAAGTGGGTTCTAAATGATTATAGTCATTACATCACACATCAGAAAATGAAGCAGATACCATAACTGAATGTTTAAAAACTAAACATTTTGATTTTATCCTTTTCTCTTTAAAAATGTTTTTTTAGATTGTCCGTGTTAGATCTCTTCAATTAAACAGAAGTGATGGAAAATAGAAATAAGATTACTGCACCCTTGACTTAAACCAGTGATTCCCAACCTTGGGCACCCAAGTATTCTCAGACTACAACTCCCAGAAATACAGATGTGCACAGCTAGTGGTGAAGGTTTCTGGAAATTTTAATCCAAGAACATTTGGGGACACAAGTTTGGGAACCACTGACATACAGTCACAGGAAGAAACCCCAAAGGGTCCAAATTATTTTTAAAAGAAGTCATAAACCTTGATTTCAAGAAAAGAAAGATGAAACTGTTACACAGCCAGAATATTTTCTATTAAATGCTAATATTTTAGCATGATCAGTGGTGGGTATAATTAGCTGAGGACAGTGGCATTTAGCAGAGAACATGGTGAGTCAAGATAATAGGTTCTTCATCACAGTTGAAAAACCTAGGCTTAGATGCTTAATCCAGGTGCATCAAGACCTGTGGGCTCAGATGGATGCTATATTTATTGAAAATACAAGTGCAAATGTCAAGACATGCATTAATGAGGTGGGTATGTAAGTCTGTTTTATGTGGCATTTTTCTAGCATTTCACTGTGCTTAGGTGGAATAGTAGAAAAGTTCTTATAACAAGATTGTATGGAGGCCAAGCTGAAAAAAATCACTGAATATACATAAAAACGTGAGCAAAGTTGCTCCATTCTTTTTTCAAGGAACTCCTTTGATTATCTGATTTAAAATCTTAACTGTACAACTTCACATTTGTTTCTTCTGGGTTTTTTAAATGTCTGTTACCTAAGCACTGAAGAAGAAAAAAACAGATTTTAAAATGCAGTGCTTTATTTCCAAATGAATATCTCAGTTAAATTGGCCCGATGGGGGGTTTCAGTGTGTCAGCAATACCATCAATCAACGAGACTAGAACAGATCTATCCTTCTGTCAGGATCACTTGTGATGGAATGGCCAGTGTTGATACACCAAGAATCCATTTTATTTTGGAATTAACATTTCTGTTAGCAAAGAAGTGACAGTTGCTAAGAACAGATAGTGCTGAAAGATGAGATGTCTAGGTTGGTGGGTGCTCTGCCACTGCAGAAGGAACAAGAGTTGAAACTGCCAATAATTAAAGCCAAGACAACATCCTGTTGCTGATGCATGGCTGTATGCCATATATAATTACAACATGAAATGTAAGAGGTATGAATCAAGGCAAGCTGAAGTAAGATTTCAAACAAATATTGTCATAAATAGTGTAAGCTAACTAAAGTGGATTAGAGCAGGACTCTTGAGTCAGATAATTGAAAAATGTTTGCAGTAATGAGGCAAAATGTAGCACTAGATATCAAGGCCAAGATCATCAGTTCTGTACTATTCCTGATTACAATATACAGGTGTCAAGAGTTGGACCATGAAGAAAGTTCTTGACAGAAAGAAGAATTTAAAACATGGCATTGAAAAAGCTTTACAGATACCAGAAAGGTTGTAGATCAAATCAAGCCAAAAAAAATCCTCGCTAGAAGCCCAACTGTTAAAATCGAAGCTACCCTATTTTGGACTTAACAGTGAGAAAACAAGATTCAGTGGAGATACAGTAATACTGATGAATGTGGAAGATAACAGATAAAGAGGAACCCTCTGCTCAGATAGATTTATTGTATATAAGAAGCCATGGTCTTTAGTTTGTAAAACCTGAACGGGACTTGTCTGGAGGTCATTCGTCGACAATTTCGTCAGAATCGACTTGACAGCACAGAAGAATAAGTGAAATGACTGGTCCGGCTCAAGTTGTGACCACTTAAAGTGTGCTCTTTTTGCTTGCTGGGAGCGATGTATCAGATTTGAGCAAGTCCGTAATACTGTATGTAGCTCACGGGATTGTATTTTGCCATGATGGGGGGGAGAGACAATACAAGTGGACCCCTGCTCCATGTTGTAGTGAATTGAATGTCATCATTTAGCAGTGTTTCCCAGAGGCCAAAGAAGTGACCAGTTCTCAAATATTGTGTAAGTTATCGGTAATACAGGTCAAACACCCGAAAACGCTTATCTTACGCTTAAGAACAAGTATAGGATTGTTTTTCCTTTTTAGGTAGGAAGAACATGAAGTTAAAATTATCATGTCAGCTGGGCACATAATTACTAAAATAATCCTTTGAAAAAATATCTCTCCTAGGAGCTTATACCTGCATGCAAGATCCTCTTAATATGCATTAGAGGCTTCTCCCAACAACTTAGTTCTCACCTTTTAAGAGAGTTACAAAAGGACCTTGCCATTTCTCCACATTGCTTGGTCTCAAGAGAGCTCCTGCTTTGTAAGTGTATATTAGTTTTAACAGCTCAGTTTTGCTGTTTTTGCTCTTAATTCCCACCTTGCATTGCCGGTTCCACCCCTTTGTGTGCTTGCAACAAATCTAAAGCTTTCTTTAAAAATTTATTTTACACTGTCTGGTCTTCTGGAAGCGTGACAACGGTGCATGCATAGGATAGTGGATGATGGAACTGGAGCCTTTGAGTAACTTACTTATACGGATGGGAAAAAACATGCAGAAAGATTGGGATAGGTTGATTGTACCGCTGGGGTAGGAAATGTGGTTCCTGATTTGCAAGGATCCAGTTCACACCAGGGATCTGAAAGTTGCTTTTTTGGGACTACAGCATCTACAGTCTTCTAGCAAGGTGCAGGATTGTGGGAGTTGTTGTCCAAAAATAAGCCCCCAACCTCTTATTTGGATCTGATGGGAGGGCTGTGTCTCTCCCTAGTCCTCTGCCGGAGGGTAGAGGAAGACCGAAAGATGTGGCAGAAATTAAGGAAACAACAAACCATGGTGGTTTCCCGTTTTTTGGGCTCTGATGATCTTCATCTCCCATAAACGCATCTCCCGAAGGAGTGGATTCATGGAGCTGTGGGGAAAATGGCCAACACGTGGTCACCCCTTTAGATACCTTGCCAGATATCCTTTTATCAACCTGTCCTCGTGTTCTGGCCTGGAAAATCGATACACAAATTTTGAGATGGGTCCTTTTAAAAGAGAAAAGCGGAATAAAAATATTTTTTTTAAAAATGAATAAAGTTCTGAAATTCATTCAGTTCATTCAGGGAATATCTGGGGAGGTGGGAAATGGCGTGGAATGCATCCACAAAGGTTTGCGCCGAAACACAGCCATTAAGTCTTGATGGTGTCACAAAGTTTAGTTTATTTTATTTTTCTGGTGGGCTTCCCACCGGCTGAAAATTGCCATCAGGGACGAGCAGCGGACTGACACGCCGATCCTGATTCTGACTCCTCCTTGGTCAGAACGATGGGTGGCTCTGCCATTTAAAAATAAAATAAAATAAACACTTTTTGGGATGCCCTGGGTATGGCCTGGCCAAACCCAAACTCGATCCCCCTGTTGGGGGAACCTTTTTTTTTTGAAGGCCCGCGAGGCCTCTTGGGGACAAAAAAAAGTCAGACCCCACCCATTGGTGTCTCTTAAAATATATATATTATTAATCTTTCTGGGAGGGGACAGGGTGGATGCGTTTTCTAGTCTTGTGATGAAAATGAGGTGAGGGCAGAGTGATTTTGTGTTAACACACATACATAATGGAAAAGTTTCATAACAGGAGGGCTTTAATGGGTTTGGGAACCTCCCTTTCTCAACCCTTGAGGGGAAGCTGTGGAGAGCCTGAGACCCAAAATGGCGGCCGTGGGTGAAGGAGAGCGAACGTGGGGGCCTTGTTTTCCTCAGGCTGTGATAGCAAGGCTGTGTGTGTGTGTGTCAGGAAAGCAAATGGTGTGTGACTTAAATGGTTATTCTTTATTTATTTATTTATTGTTGCTTATTGTGAACATTTCTACCTCAGAGGGGGAAGAGAGGCTGAACCCTTGAGTCTTTTTGAAAAGACTTTTGCCTTTTCCTGAGGGAAGCCCCCTCCCTTTTTAAAGCACGAAAGTGAGGGGAGGGAAAGAAAATTTTAAAAAAGAAAATGAATTAGGAAATTAATAAATAAACTGCTGTGGGGAGAAAAAGATAGGACAATTGGGGTGCAGGGGGAACTGAGGGGGAGGGAAATGTTGAAGGAGCAAAATGGGAGGGGAGAAATTTTCTTTGTGGGGGGAAACAGACAAAGGGCTTGCCATTATTTACAATATATTTTTTTCTTGAGAGCCTCCACCAAAAGCACTCTGCAATGGGGGCGCACAAAGAGGCCATGGCAGTTTGTGGAGAAAAGGCGGGAAATCCCTCCTTTCCTGGCTCCTCTTCTCTCCCATCATCCTG